TAGGCTACCCAATTCATATCAAGAAAAAGATAGCAGAAAAGAGACGACTCAGAAGAATTTGGCAAAACTCAAGAAACCCAAATGATAAGGCCATCTTTAACCGAGCAGCACGGATTTTGAAAAGATTATTGTACGACACAAAAAACCGATGGTTTGAAGAATATACTCAATCTTTGTCGGCTACGGAGGCTACGGATTACTCGTTATGGAAAGTAACAAAAAGGCTGAAGCAACCCCAAATTTCAATCCCGCCAATTCGTAAACCGGATGGAAGCTGGGCTAAGAGTGACATAGAAAAATCTGAAGCTTTCGGGGATTACTTTTCCAATGTATTCAAGCCAAATGTAGGTGTGGTCAATAATGAAGAAGAAATAATAGAATTCTTGGACTCTCCACTTCAACTTGACTTTCCTCTGGAAAAATTCAGACCTACAGAAATTAAGGCAACCATTGACAAATCGCTAATCCGAAAAAATCTCCTGGTTACGATTCTATCACTGGGAAAATGTTAAAAGAACTGCCAAGGAAAGGAATGATTTTTATTGCATTTCTCTTTAATTCTATATTGAGACTAGACCACATACCAACTCAATTTAAGAAAGCCCAATTAATTGTTATGCCAAAACCAGGAAAACCTCCTCATGAAATCACTTCCTACAGACCTATAAGTCTCTTGCCTATAGTGTCCAAGTTGTTTGAGAAATTGTTCCTCAAAAGACTACAAGCTCTTTTTGAAGAAGACGACGTCATTCCAGGACACCAATTCGGGTTTAGACGGAGACATGGCACCGTGGAGCAGGTCCATAGGGTTGTTCATACAGTTCGAAACTGTTTGGAAAACAAACAATTTTGTTCTGCTGCTTTCCTTGATGTCAGTCAGGCATTTGACAAAGTATGGCACTCTGGCTTACTATTCAAAATTAAGAAGTTACTACCCCATTCAGTTTTTCCTATTTTAAAATCATATCTTACCAACAGAACTTTCCAAATTAAACATCAAAATTACTTAACTGACCTTTACCCTATAGAATCAGGAATCCCCCAAGGAAGCGTGCTTGGACCATACTTGTATATTCTCTATACATCGTACCTACCAGAAAGTGTAAACACTATGGTTGCTACATTTGCGGATGACACGGCGATTTTATCTGTCCACGACAATCCAGCTCAAGCTACAGCAAATTTACAGCTAAACTTGGATGAAATTTCTCATTGGTTTAAAACATGGAGGTTCAAAATTAATGAAAATAAATCAGCACACATTACTTTTACCTTAAATCAGGCTACATGTCCTCCAGTATCCATGAACAATATTCACCTCCCTCAAGTAACGGAAATAAAATACTTGGGCATGCACTTAGATGCAAAGCTTAATTGGAAGGCACATATCAAAATCAAAAATATATTACAAAGTCGCCAGATAGAAAGTCGATTAATGACAATAGTTATATTATTGAATTCAATTAGTTAAAATAGGATTTTAGGATAGTTTAGGATTCGAGTATGAAATTATTATTCAAGATTAGCAAGATGTGAGATATAAGAGGGAGGGCACGGGATGGCTCAACTACTGTGATAGATACAGATGACAAACCCATTAAAACGTTGTAAACAGCCATTAACGTCACGATTTGCATTTTTATAAATGAAATTCAATATTGCACAATCATTATTATTGTGCAATAACATTATTATTGTACATTTCAAATAATTTATCTTGGTTTAGTTGTACAAACGGCAACGTTTAAAATTATAGCTAACCCAAACTCAATTAATAACCATGCCAAACACTGGATTGCTATAAATAACGTTAATATTAAAGGAACCTTTAAAAGTATTACAGTATAAGTTACTGCTCATGATAGACAGATAGGCTACCGGTAGGTGCTGTACAGGAATTGATAGATAAGTAAAAAAAAAGTGTAAAATTATATTTAGAGATAATAAAAACACTCTTAAAAAAGAATGTAACGAGAACAATCTTTATTGGGTTTATCTTCAATTCATACACAAATTCAACAAGTCGCCATATTTAGGCCGACTCATTGGCCAATCACAGCCTTACTAAAGTTACCATGGTTACTTATCACTCAATCACAGTTTACTAAGCATTTATATCGTCATCATTCCCCAGCTGTTTTATCTGAAATTTGTTGTAACATAGCGCCTTTGTTTCCCCTTGTCTGTGATAGCGCACAGCAGACAGTGAAGTGTAAAACGGAGCAGACGATTGTTGGCGCAAGCGTCGTTTCATTTTCATCAAAGGAGCTGTGATGTTTCCAAAGGGAGGGAGAGGGGATCGTTATATCAAGAGAAAGACGCTGACAATTCGTTAAGCAGAGGTTACATACGCTATATAGATATTCTAGCATTAAAAATTCCTTAAATTGAGGTGACTTATAAAACTCTAATTTTATTTATATAGAAAGATAAGTTTTCCAGTCCTGTACAACACTGATTCACGGTCTTTTCCCGGTAACCAAAACTCAAGTAACTTGATACACACAGAATCTCCGGTTCCCGACCTGGATGATGGCTAGTTATTTAATTTAATTTACAGTTACATATTAGTACCCCGTGGTAAATCAAACCCGTTATGTAAGCCAAAGCCACACGGTTATTAATCTCACTTGGTTTTGGATTTGCTTACAAACGTGATCGGAAATGGTTACAAACGTGATTGGAAGTGGTTAGAGCCTAAACAGTATTCGTAAACAACATTTAAACGATGTTCCTAGTGCATTAACTTTTCATCTTGGTGAAGCAACTGAGAACAGGAGGCTACGTCGAAGGCTCCCTCAAGATCTATTCGAGGAATGATGCCTAAAGAAGATTAAATTATTCTCTAAATTAATTATGTTACAGGGTGACTCAGGTTTGGGCGAACCCACGATGTTAATTATAGTTCATTTCTTATTAATTTTGTTAACACTCTGTGTATAATGTCTACATTGAACCAGAAATAAATGATGCTGTAAAAAAAAAAAAAAAATGTAAACATACCAGTGACAGCTAGAAAAAGGAATCTTTATAAAAACAGCTGTTCGTAATTTCATATAATGACGTGTTCTCTTAACAGATTATTAGTATTTCATAAATGAAGTATGTAGTAAACATGGAGAAAAAACTAGAAAAATCACACAAAATTGGGTTTTTGATCGTCCGTTATTTTATTTCCAAAATAGTGAGGCCATATTTTAATGGCTATAAGGACACTCTCGCCAATCTTGTGAATACAATTAAACCATTAGAATCATAATCGGTACTCTAGTTTTCTTTAGAGTAGGCTGCGTAAAATGCCTTCTGGGCCGTGACAGACAGACGTAAATTGAGATGAGACATGTTTCAACTTCTTCAATGTATAAAACGTAAAAATAACCCAAAATATGTATAGTTCTGAGCAATGTACAGACAAAACTATAACTTTATTTATATAGATTAACTGGGTTTGAATTTTAAATATCTAAGAAAAATGTATAAAACTTCTTTTAGTTTTACAAATCGTACTGGGCGGGGGAATAATGTTTCTCATTTGTTGTGTACTTCATTTATGGTGGTGGGGGGCTGTTGCTCAATTGGGGGGGGGGGGTGCGTCATGAGTCTAGGGGGGGATGGGCACCCCTGTACTAAGATGGATGGAGGGATTGTAATGAGCCAGTATATACTATCGGAAGAAAGGAGTTTCTTTGAAGCATTGAAAGCAAGTTTATGTTTTTCCTCCCACCGCCATTTAACATTTTTGTCCAATAAGCGATGTAAAGGTTCTGCAACATTGGCTTTGTTGGGTAAAAAACAGTGATAGAAATTAAGTAAACCTAAAAATGCCTGCAGTTGTTCCTTGTTAGTCGGCTCAGGAGCATCTTGAATGGATTTGACTTTGTCCGGGTTAGGACAAATTCCGTCAGAGCTCACAACAAATCCCAAGAAGTCAACTGATGTAGATAACAAAGAACACTTTTCGCTTTGGAGTGTGATTCCTGCATCTCTAAAACGAGTGAATACTTGTCTTAATGTCGTAATCAATTCATGTATTGTTCCTGCTTTAACCAAAATATCATCAAAGTAAGGGATTACATTGTCCAAGCCCGAAAGCAAACCCTCAATAAAATGTTGAAATATAGATGGAGCTGAGCTAATACCGAATTGTAGTCTTTTTGGTTTAAAAGCACCCTTGTGTGTAATTAGTGTCTGAGCTAGTGCCGACTTCTCGTCAACAACCAGTTGTTGATAAGCTTGGGCTAAATCTAACTTAGCAAAATATTTCCCTTGGTTTAAGTTTGCTAAGAGCTGAGAGATTGGTGGAATAGGGTACAGATGATCTTGGATAGCTTTGTTTAACGTTGCCTTATAATAACCGCAAATTCGTATTTTACCATTGCTTTTTACGGAAACAACAATTGGTGTGGCCCAATCCGATACCTGAACAGGTTCTAACACTCCCTGATTAACTAACTTATTCAGCTCTTCGTCTACTTGGACCTGCAATGCATAAGGTAAAGGGCGCGCTCTTAAGTGAATTGGGTTATAATTCTGGTCAATTTTCAGTTTGATTGGAGGTCCTTTATAGCACCCTAAAGAATTTGAAAATACATCGGAAAATTCACTTTTCAGATGTTGAACATCCAGCTGAGCTTTACTAAGAACTTCAGATTCATTTTTCTTATTCTTATTACCTTTCATTCAAATTGTATGATAGTGTTATAAAATGGTAGATTAGTAATACTGTTAAGGTATTGTAAATAATTAAATTTGCAGGATTGCTTATTTAATTAAAGGCGTTTTTGGTTATATATTAGTGCTAAAGAGTAAACCAGCAAAATAATTTTAAAAATAAATAAATAGCGATGGATCAAAATTTGTTTCTTATACTACTAGGTATGCCAAATGAAAAGTAAAATTTTTAATTCACGACATTCTTTGGACAACTCTAATTTTCCTCATAGTTTTTGCTAATGAAACTACAAAACAAAAGGTAAAACAAAACTACACATTTTAAATTATTATATTTCATAATGAAAAAACATGTAATTTCCATTTACAATTGGAACTACACTACTGTACATACCGTCGCTACATTAAAAATATTAAAATTTGTTAAAAGTTATAAGTGTACAAAGTTTCATTTCTTACAAATGCACATAATAGGTTAAATACATACATACGGACATAAAGCACACGGGTTTATATACACCATCGAAACGAGACTTTATACAATCGCAGTTTATAATTTTATGTACATAATACTCTGTGTGAAGAATTAGGCACATCCCATACAGCTAGGCCCTTAAGCCCAATCTTAACGGCTTACATTATGTCTTCCACATCAGAGAACATAAATCACATATAGAGTTTACCACATCTGACGGAAGCTATACTGTATGCCGATAGCGAGGGATCTCCACACATGAAAGACAAAAGTGTAAAACTTCCTCACAATTCTGAGATCATCTTTGCTATCTTCAAAATCAGTTATAAATATTAAATAAATACTACTGATAGGGATGATCACAAATCACTATACAACTCCATATACAATATACACATCGTCACTATGTACAGTTTAAAGCTACATAATGAATTACAGATTCATCCTAACCTAACAGGTACCTCGTCAATGAGGTAAATGCGATGATGCTTTGGTCAAACCAAAACATAAAAATCAGCAGCCAAGCAGTCACAATAAGAAAACATTTGATAAAATTCACCTTTTGACTAGTATTTGAAATATATCTAAGAAACATTATTAAGGTGGAACATTTACCTATGCCTATGAGTAGCCTAATGGCACTGACATTGTACAACAATAAACATTACTTTTAACTGAACTTTTTACAAAAATAATTTTGTTAGATGTTCTTTTATTTTTAAAATCAAAGAATAATAACATAAAAGAAATCTTTAAACAAATACTCAATGCCATTGTAAAAAATAAACTTATTCATACACATCTTGGCTGCATGATTTTAATTGGCTATTTCATATTATTGCACTAAAACCTAAAACTTAATCTCAAAGAATAAAGCTTATGAAATTGCTGACTCCAAAATTTTAATCTCACAGGTTTCCACAGGGCAAAATGTTGAAAAATATCTAGTCTTGGAACTAGAGAATGGTGCACCAATCAAAATGTTATGAATCAGATCTTATTATTTTAGCAACGTGCTAAACAACAATAAAACTCCTTACAAAAATAGTGTCATTTGGGGCTTTCTCACATTTATAAAAGTACCAATTTAATTCACACGTTCAAAACAGTTAAATTGCTAAACCAAAATAGACATTAACAAATTTATCTTCAACTAATGTACAAAACCAAAAGTGAAAGAAATGGTCCCTCCTCTTTTCCATAAAAATAAACAATATTTTTAGTTTAACAATCATTTTGCCTTAGGCTAAATGGTTAATTATATTAACCATTCAATAAAAAACTGATTCAAAACAAAATTTGCTCATTTATTAAAAAAATAAAAACCACACAAAAACTCAAAATAAAAAACAGGTATTAAAAAGACACTGTTTTACATATCAAACTATTTCATTAGGTCAGTAGGCCTAAATACTAGGAATAAATCTAAATGCAATAACCTGAATATACTTTAGTCCAAAATTTCATCTTATTATAAATCCAGGAAAATCACTTTACATTCAAAAGTCAATTACATGGATAAAATCATCAAATAATTAAAAAATGTCCAAAAATGGTAAAAAGTTATATAAGAATACTGTTACAAAATATAGTCATAAAAGTGATAATAGATGTTAGTTAGGATGAAAATTAAATAATTGCTAACTCAAGATAAAATGTGAATTTTTTAAATTTAGTTCAGGATATCCAGATGTAAGGAACACAAATCAACACAACACTATCACATGGCACTGATCCCTAAGGAACTATTGAAACAAAATCAAGTCATTTTCCTAAGATAATTTACTCGTAGCACATTACATACTGGATTCAATTTTGCACTTGTAAATTTGTTGAGAGAAAAGAACCACGGAGCAATGCTAAAGTCAGAGAGGAACAACAATAAAACTTAACCAATTAATTAGTTTTGGATTACTTGTTCAGATTACATTTTTAACAGCCAACCAGGAGTATTGTGCAAAAAGTCACCAAAAACAATACTAAATCGATTCAGGTGCTAGATTTAAATAAAACATTTTTTTTAAATAGTATTGAAATCATATGTTATCGTGCCTCCCAAAAATTGAATTTGACTTGTATGGTACTATTTCACCACCAATAAGAAAAAATTTATAGTCTTCAAATCTCAGAATGATTGTATTTACTTTACCAATGATTACTTCTGATAAAAAATGACCAACCCTCTTTCCCCAGTACAGCCTATCACAAACAAAAACTTGACTAGCCTAAACTCTACGATATCAAGCATAAAAACTACAATTGTAAAACTGTTTACTTCACTAGCCTTGTTAAGTAGGATTGATCCCACAGTATTAAGCGTGTGGCTACTAGCGAGTGAGCTATCGCGACTGTGAGGATTCTTCCTTCTTGTGGTCCGGGTGTGAGTGTGGGATGGGGTGTGGAGCTAAGCTGTGATGAGGTGGAGGAGGCCGATGTGGCGATGGAGCCTTAGTACGCAAGTGAGGCGGAGGAGGAAACCCTGCAAACAACTTTGCTCTCTGTTCTTCTTCTTCCCGTATTGCAGCGGCCATGAGTGGATTGTATCGTAGATGGTCGTAACCTCTGTATAAATGATTATTGTATTAGTTGATTCTCGTAAGGAACACATTCGGAAACTTAAAACTAAAAGCAGGGATACATGTATAATGTGTAATATTTTAGGGGTGTGCGATGCATTGAAAATGAATAAAAATTCCGATTTGATTCTATGCATTGAATCACGATTCGATTCAGTGTTGATCAAAAAACAATTTGATTCATGAGGGAGTCAGTATCCATAAACGAAAAACGCCTGCAGAGAGTCAACGCAATACCCGCAATACAGGAGCGTGTTGATGTTGCGTTTCCTTTGCGAAGGCGTTCTTATTTATGTGTGTGCATGACGATGGTGGAATTGAAGAACCACCGAAACATGTAGCGAGTTACTTTTGACACTACATGAAAACATGTCAAGGATTGTCTGACAAGGTACGTTTTTTACCATAATTAGTCATAAAACGCAATCCTGGGGCTATAAAAATGAATTATAGTTCTTCTAATTTAATTAATTCTTTGCTTGTAAATATTGCTTTAATTGTTTTATAATTTTCATTTTGACATTGCAAATGATGAGAAGTTTTGTTAGGTGTAAGCAGTCGTGTGACATGTTTTGCTAATGTAATAGCCAAAGCAAGTCACTCTAAAATCATTCTAAAAATAACACAGGTCTGAAAAATTGTTACTTGATACATAACTAGTAATTGATGTTTTAGACTGATAAATTTGGTATTTTTTTGTCTGCTATGTATTCCTTGCAGTTTGTAGGTCTGATTCTATCCTCTCATTTTATCAATTTAAAACAATTGAAAGTTTCAGTATAAATCTTGCAAATGTTTTTATTTGTTTACACCAAAACATATCTTTATTTATAAAATCAATAACTTATTATAAAATAGGTAACATGCTTAACAATATGATTCTGCAAGTAAAAATTATGAAATAGGCAAGTAAAGCAGCTCACTGACATTTCCAGCAATACAGGTTCTTGTAATACAGTATATGATTGAAAATAAATATTTTTTCACTTAAAATTCATATATGTCTCATGTATGAATGTGGTAAATTTTAATTAGCCTATTGTTACTTCACTCCATTGACAAGTATGAATGGAAAAATAAAATGCTGTATTGCTTCGAATCAAGTTTGGAATTGAATCAATGCTTCGAATCGAAAATCTTTTGCTGCTTCGCACACCCCTAAAATGTAAGTAAAAATGAATTTAAATTAAATTCTGATTGAAACATTAATTATCTTTCATTAAAACCAAAAGTAACTAAATCGTTAACTTCAGTTTAAAAGGAAAGTAATGCTTAGGCCTACTCTTTTTTAATATAGTCTTAACAATTTAGATAAATAGCATCAAGAAATACTCGCAAATATTAAAGCTCAACCATTGTCTTTTAATTCCTTCCTACTAGTTTGGAATGTTGAATGGGATTTTCAAAAGTACAGAAGACTGCCCTTAACCGACCCTAATGGGAACGGACCTAGGTCGGATAGCTCAAAAGGTCGGTTAAATGGGTAATCCCTAAAAAGAGTCAATAAAAACTCTTATTTTAATAATTAAGATTTTAGTACTGTAATATTAATTGATGTTTCAAAATCCATCGTATTACAGTTCAGACCTCTTTGTCAAAATTAAAATACAAGCAACCATTTTGTTACAAGACACAGGATGTTTATTTATAGCCTCACACTGGAGGCTCGAGTCACAAAATCTATCTTGACCATGGAGTAGTTAACCCCCCTCCCCTGCCCACCCTACAAGTTGCATTGTATGTTTACTCTAGCGATAAGATAATTCTAGTTTATATTACAAAATTAGGAACTGAATTCAGAAACATACATTTTTTGGGAAAGATACAAAATAACTTATTCTTAGTCACATCCTGTAGAGATAAGTGTATGATTCCCATCGCCGAGTGTTTGAGCGGAAATATCGAAATTCCTAGAAAGCGGCGGTCAAACCAAACTGCTCTCAAAGCAAGGTCGGTTAAAACAAACTAATATTTTACAATCGAGGGCGGATAATCTGAGTATCGGTTATCGTGAGGTCGGTTAAGAGAGGTCTACTGTATTAGGATTATAAAACTAGTTTTACTTATAATGATTCAGTGTTGATTCACATAGTCACTATAGACATACCTGAAGGGATGATGGTCCCAGGGTGAGGGGGCGAAGTGTGAAGGGTGTGGCATGGTGCGGGGGGGTGGACGGGGCAAGTAGTGAGGCGGGGGTCGCCCCAGCAGCAACACCTCTTCCTCCTTGGGAACTACAGACGCTGGGTCTCGGATAGGTGACCTGTCTCGTACCTGCCACAAAAAAGAAAATTTACAGATAAGTTGTCTGGAGGTTTATTGCAAATGCTTTCTTATGTGTCAAAAATAGCAGTTTTTTAACTGACCGAGACAACCATTTTGCCTTATTCATATGCCACATTTCCTCACCTTATTATGTTGGTGGTGTTGTTGTTGCTGCTGCTGCTGCTGCTGTTGTTGTGCGGCCAGCAACCTCCTCTGCTTTTCTTCTCTCCTTTGCCTCTCCCTCTCTCTACTCCTCTCCCTCTCCTTTTCTCTCTCTCTTTCCCTCTCCCTCTCCCTCTCCCGTTCAGCTTCAGTCATCCCGGGCTCTGGTTTCAGACTCCAAGGTCCTACACTGGCACCCAACGCTGTGGGAGCTAGCGACGACGTTCTAGGCTGCAACCTAAAAACAGACATTTTGTCAGATGAGAGATGCCAATTTGTTGATATATTTTATTTGATATCAAGAATTTTTATACAAGCCCAGATGGAATGTTGCAAAAGCACGTGTAAATGAAAGATGAACTAAAACATGCGCTCCTAAAAGATTAACTAAGCTCTATAGACCCGAAATAAGGTTTATCACAATTTTGGATTTTATAAAGCATGGATTACAAGAAAAAGACACATAATTTTAAAGTTTCAGTAAACTTTTTAAATGACTTTTCCACCTAGAGTGGAAATGATGAATGGAAATGATCATTTGATTTTAAGTTAGGCCTTGCTTAATTGTATTACTTTGACACAGAGTATTAAACATTATTTTTTGGCTGTTAGTAACTTAAGAATGAAATAAAAGCATAGTCTAAAATATAATATGATTTGTTTTAAGACTAAAATATAACTTAGCATAAACTTGGATGACTATGCTTGATGAATTTTGTGGTAAGATAAACTAACCTGGACCAAGGATCGTAGAGAGGTGTTGGAGGAAATGTAGCCATTGATGGTACTGTTGGATTGGGAGGATACCTGCCAAACATGCTGGACCCTGCAATACAACACATTCATTATCAACACTTCTATTGGCACCAGGACCGGTTTAAGTAGTAAGCAAATTACACGGTCGCGAAGTAAAACCAAGTAAAAGGGCTTAAGCGCTTTCCAATGTTCAGTATTAAGGAAAGAGACTAGAGGCATTGAATTTATATAAATTTTATTTATTCAGTTCTTAAGGTTAAACATTTATTTACATCGCCAAATAAGACTGAAGGAGTAAGGATATATTTTAAATCGTATAGCGTAAGGTTGAGGCTGTAGCTAACCATCACTATTTAATTGATTTTTATTTTAAAACATGTTAGCAATTATTGTTAACTTATTATTTACTTTTTTGTTTACCTTTTCTTTCTTTTGATGTTGTACTTTTTGTCCATGCAATACATCTTCTAAAATGTTAATTATATTATTTTATTAGTCATTGTAAAACACCTCTAACCACAAGGTGCAAGACCTGTAAGCACACTCCCACTACTTGATTTTTTATTGTTCAAAAATAACAATATCCACAAATAATAACAACTGGTCCTTCGGCATACCTCCATCATCTACTTGGACTTGTCCGGGAGACGTTTGTACGTTTGGGATGTTCTTAAGCTTTTTTATTTACTCTAATTCTTTCTTGTATCCAGAGATAATCGTTACTAATATCAGTATCGTATTTAGGGTACTTGCAGTCCTAGAACCAGAGCAACCTTGCGATTGTGGCGAAATCATGAACATCTCCCGCAATCATGGGAAATCTTGATCGTTGCCCACAATCATGGTAAAAAATAAATTTAGAAAATTAAAGATCAATTTTTGTTTTCGAAAAGAAAAGAAAAAGAAGAACAAATGTTTTGGAACAAATCGCTGCGGCCCCAGTGAATTTACCATCTCTAGTGCCCGGGAGCACCTGGATGTTGTTCGCTTACAATACAAAAATGTCTAGAACCGGACCTGATTGGCACTCAACCACCTCAAACAATTCAAAGTATTGTTCTCTGGTAGGATTATGTTTTTTAACTGTTGATTTTGAGTGTTATTGTACAGGATAGTGCATGAGGTTCACTGACAATGTGTTTTTATCCTCTGTAATGTAATCCACTGAAAACAGGGTCCCACCCCACTCTAATTTGAAAATGAAATTCAAAGGTTTATTCACAGCTTTTCACAGTCATATTTGAGTATAATGTGATGTTGTTGAGGATCTACATTGTTAGATCAGGTACAAGCGAAATTGTGGCGGCATCAGAGCGTGTTGTAGCAGACCTCATAGCAGATTAGGGACATCACAAGAATGTTTCTGATGTTTCCGATGTTGCCACATGTCAACAGACTCCAGCGAGTTAAGTTGCTAAAATCTAAAGAAGAGTACTCAAGTACCAAGTAATAAAATTGAGCAGATGCAAGCTTTTGATCTCGCAATCGCAGAAAGCGTCTACAAAGTTTGCATGATCTAAAATTCTCAATGTCGCCGCAATTGCGCAAGACGATAATGATGTCTCCACATCCATAGATGTTCAAGATTTTGCCACAGGAGACAAAAGGATTTTAAATTCACAATTAATTTTTAGGACTTTTCTACGTAACCATTAAGCTCATAATAACGCTTCAATATGCTAAACTATTTGTTTTTTAAGCGCTACAAAATGGTTTGGAAAGAGATTGTAAACTTTTGTGTTTTTAGGGTCCAAAATAGGAAAACCCAAATTTAACCCCGGCCATAAACCCCTGTTCCTATAGTCCGATCATGCTGGTTCGCCAGCTTGTTCGAATAAATGTAAGTTTACACGTTTATATCAAATAACATCAAAATCGGATTATTTGTCCTCGAGTCATCGTGCTAACGGACATATATATATACACAGTAGAGAGAGCAGCCCTCAATTTCTTCATTGTCAAACTGATAGATAACTGGCTATGATTATTTGTGACTCACCAATCCCAGCAAACGGAGAGGCAGCAGGATGTGCTGAGCTTTCAAACGGGTGTGGAGGTCGATGCGGGGCAGCAAATGGGGGCAGTTCGTGGGGCCGCGGGGGGAACAGATGTGTGGGAGGCCTCAGTAGCTCTGACTTGGTGGGGACACCACCACCACCTACTACTCCTACCCCCGCCTTCACCTCTGCTGCCTGCTTCTGTTGGTGGTGATAAATCTCCCATGCAATACGCACGTGCATTGCGTTCCATTTACCCGTCTTCTGCAACAAAAGAAGACAATTTTGAGTTTTATGAACATCCAAAAAACATCCCAGCTTTAGTTGCTGTTAAAAATGTATTTCAATCAAAAAATTGTTGTAAAGGAAAAAGTTATACAGGTAGTTTGTAACTATTTAACACATAAAATTGATTATTTAATAATCCGACATATTCTATACTGCATTCCATAGCCTTGATTGTTGTTGATGAAACAAACAATGAATGTGTCATTTTTATATTGAGCATTTCTAACTAACAAACTATAATGGAATAAATTTTGCCAGCAATCAATAGAACATTTCATCACTAGAGCATAAAGTGCCACTTTTCAACCCAAGATCAAGTTTTACAATCGAGGCAAAGCCAAAGGTTGGAAAACAATTGAGGGTTGAAATTAAAGTTAGAAAAGACAAATTGTTCCATGTAAAGATAACCGCTAAAAACAATTTTTAACTTGTTTACCATTTAGCTGATGCAAATAAGCAGGTATTTTAGTAAGTGATTCAATAATTTCTACTATTACGATAGAGTTAGTAGTATTTATATCATCGATACGTTGAACTGTTAACAAGAATGCAACACTACAACTGATTAAAACAAGTGAAAAATACTTTTGATGTTTTGATACATACGATTGCTTATAAAATAAAAGTTTTAGTTTACAACAGCTGACTTTTACTCCTTAGGGAGTAAATGAGCTACTTTAGACCCGCAACCCAGGTATTAAAAACTCATTGCTGCAGTGTATGACAAAAAAATAATTTATGTTTGTGCGTGTTTGTTATAACAGGTGTGTAGACCTATATGAAATCATAATTTTTCATCTTTACGATTTAATTTATATAACCTAATGGCTTTTTTAGATAAAGATATTTATCTAATATTTTGTAAGAACAATTACAGGGTTGTCAGCAGAATCTATAAAATAAATTCACACATTTTTCCCGGCTAAAAAGTACAAAATTCCCATCATCTGATATAGGCTACTTATAAGAAAATCCCAATCAAAGTTGTAAAAACAAATTAAAATAACAGATATTGGTGAATAGTTTTAAAAAACCACATATGTTTATTAGCCCTTAGGCCCACTAACTCTATTCACTCGACAAACATTGCAAATTAAGTTTTAAATTTAAAATGAACATTAATGAGTTTAATATTTTGCAGAATAAACTGAGCTACTACTACTACTGAGCTAGGCCTACTGAAGCAGTTTCGAACTGCCAAACGTTACGATTTTCGCGTTATATTTGCCAATAATAGTTACTTATGTTATGATTAACTGTAAACCGGTAAAAACCAATAATTATTACAATTAAAATTATGGATTTTCCAAAATTAACATAAATGTGGTACTTTGAAACAAAATTCGGGGCCTAAGGTTTTTCTTAGGCCTACTGAAGCAATTTTTAACGTTACTTTTTTGCATTATATTTGCCAATAGTTACTTAACTGCAAACTGGTAAAAAACCAATAATTATTACAATTAAAATTATGCATTTTCCAAAATTAGCTAAACTAAAACATCGATTCAATCCAATCCACTGTCGAGTGTCGATTGGGAATCGTATTGTCATTACTTAAATCGTTGTGTCGTCTGTCTACAGCACAGTTCCACCATTGCTTGCTGCACGAACACACAACATGAACGCAGGTCGCAGACATTAAGGTCAAGGTTAAGTCGTTACCGGCAATGGCGGTAATAGTTGCGCATTGAACTAGAGCTACAATCGAAGGTAGCACTGAATGCGAGAATTGAGAGACGTTGGCCGCCATATGTACTATAGTCCTCGCCACCCTAACTTGAGGCAGCCCAAGGCCTCACTAGATATAACGGCGTGCGGCCTTGGGCTGCCTCAAGTAAGGGTGGCGAGGACTATAGGGGTAGGGGAAAATAGTACTTTGGAACTAGGAGATTGTGGGATTGTCAATAGCCAATGAGCTGATTGATTCCTCTAGTGGTACCAACATAACAACGTCTCTTTACAGCGTCTCGATTTTCTAGCAGATAAGCCATGCCAGTGCTACCTCCATTTGGATGTTGTTAGTCTACGACGCAAGAGCGGTTCCCTGATTCCCTTAATTTATCAGACTTGGATACGATAAATAACTGAGAGCACACGATAATTTTGAGCCGGCATGAACTATGTCAGTTCCAGTTGTCTGATTTAGAATTTTAACATGGATGATACGAACAACAAAAAATTGACCATGTCAACTTCCTTAAAAATATGAGTTTTTATATGGAATCAGTATCGAGAATGGTGAGCAATATTTCAGAACTGGTATAGAATTGAAAAATTCTGTTATCGGCCTACCCCTATTTATAATACAATAATTAATATTCGACTAGGACTTAATTCAAGCCATGACCAAGTTTGGTTTTGTTCCAGCTATGCGTAGATCGACACTGCTGCTACACGCTACACGTTTTTATTATAGAGCTGGCGGCGAGTCGGCGTATTCTGTCGTAACTCTTATCCAAATCTTCCGTAAATATACATTCACTATTAAAATGTTCTGATAAACTGGCTCAAAATTGTTATAGCTATAAAATTCTTCGAAAATAAACGTACATAATGATATTTATTTAAATTCACGGAAAACCCCTGAACAATACCATTTTTACGCATATTTCCCAGTTTTTTCAGGGTGGTTAGTTCCCGGTTTTCCCGGAATTCCCATTCGCTGACAACCCTGAATTAAACAGTTTTAAACAGTTGACTGTTTTTAATTATTTTCAATGGTAATAAGAAGTGCTAGCAAAATCTTTACTTATTCAAACTGAAAATTTTGTCCTACCTTAAAATAGAAGAATCATAATTTATTCGATAACATTAAAAATTTACAAACATATATAACATATCTAGTAACAGATCATAAATGTTGACACCTTTTGCCTTATAACCATGTCATACTGTCGGGCATTGTGTATCAAGTATGGTTATCATACTATGGACAATCCTGTATTTCAAATAAACAGATGCCTAAAATGTAAATTAAAAGCTAAAAATAGTTATTACCGAAGCAAAATTGATTGACATCTTGTGAGAATGATGAGGGAATGAAGTCCTTAGGTTCTAAAACAAAGAAAACTAGTCAACACACATACCTAGCTAACAGAAAACATAATCAAATAATAAATATAACTTTTCATCATAAAAATAAAGATGCAAAGTAACAACTATTTGTGTTGAGTTGTTAATTGACTATTATTAAAGTAAAAATTATGAAATGTTATGATTAATGAGAAATTAAAGTTCATTTTTAATATGGTTAAAAAGCACAGATAAACCCAATGGCTTACTGAAAAATAGTGTCGCAGCTAGTTTTCGTGAGGGAGGTGGGCAGGGGGGGTTAGTTTACCCTGGGTGGAAAGTTTTGGGGGAGGCAAAATTGAGGTTGCTATTTAATTTGTTTTAGCCTTACTGTAAAAAAGATTGCTTTTGCATACTAAAGTGGTCAAGCCAAAGTACACTTACGAAAATATTTATATGAACACGTGAGTTTAAGAATAGGAGCGGCAGACATGACTCCTCTAAAAAGTCAAAGTGTTTCTTTTATATACAGGTGTGTGTAGAGAGTGGAGTGCCGCCACGCGCCATACTACCCCTGATCCCCTCTTTGTTCCTTGTTGACACCTATTTTTGTATAACACATATTTTATTGGTATATGTCGGTTTCTATTTATTGGTTGTCATGAAATAATTTTGCGCGATCGTGGGTAACGACGAGTTTTGGTGTCACAATGATGTTCAAGATTTTGCCACAATCAGAAGAGGGGATGATTATGTGTTGGCGCTGGCGGGAATATTCAGGATTTTGTCGCGATCACGAGATAGAAGTGACCAGTGCCGGACTTATAACTAGGCCACGGCCTAAGGCCGCAAGCGGAACGGGTCTGCAGTGTTTTGTACAAAAACAACTTTTTTAAACAACTAATTGTTTTCTAAAGTTAATGATTTGTCACGCTTGCGAGTACGGATAATAATGTCCTCGTGATGGCAGGAAATAGTGACGATTTACCCGTGATTACGGGTGACGATAATCATGACCTGTGATAGCGAGAGATGTCAAGATTCAGCACAATTGGGGGTTACGATAAGGATGTCCACATAATAGAGGTAGATGTTCACAATTTCTCCACAATCACAGGCAATTCTTTTTCTCCTGAGCCTGGCTGGATTATTAGACAAGACAATCAGAGACTCAGGAATTATCAGCAAGTATAATTTCAATTAAACATTTAAGAGGGTCAAAAATTTAGTTTTCTGACACAATCAAGATGTTTGCTGCTAAAAAATCATGAAAAATAAAAAGGAATTAACTTTTTAATCTTATTGAGGAACTTTATCTATCAAGAGCTAGCTGTATGTTCACTGTAATTTAATAACCAAATGCTAAAGAATTTGTTTTATTTGTTCTCATACAAATTGTACTTACAGGTTTAAGTGTTTCATATGGTAGTAATATACAGTAACAATTTCAAAACAATTTTTAATAATGTTATAGAAAAAAGGATAATGAAAACTTTGGGCCATTTTCTTAATAAAGTTTGTGTGCCTCGTGTTAAGACTGGCTGTAAAATGCCATTGGGGCTTAGAAAAAAAATCCACAGTTGCGTGGTGAAAGGGCGACAAATTTAAGACTTGCCCCCCTTATAAAAATGCGTAGCTGCTGCCCTGCTGAAGAAGACAAGATATTTTGAAATTTCTCCTCAAGATTTTACGACTCGTATATATTTAAGGGTTTAATGCAACTGTGATAAAAGGAAAGGGAAGACAGTCAGAGTCTTACATGACTTTTTTTTTATTGGTATAATCCATTGACCCTCCTTATGAAAAAATAAATAGAGTCTAACCCTGCATCAAAGAGTTTTTCTCCGGGCGCATTTGTCTTTATAAAAAAATATGTGATATCGTCAGCAGGCAGCTTTAGGAGTAATAGAGTTCCTTTCCTCACGTGCATCTTTCTAGGAACCCATTGAAGATTTTTTGAACTCACACCTCCCCCGCAAAACCCCCATCAATCAATTGAAGCCCGAAAAGTCGCGTAGCACAGAGCCCAGCCCCGTGAGTCACCGACGGTGTTGTTTATTTTGTTTGCTATATATTTTTATACATGTGTAAAGTAAGAGTTTTTGTTCATTTCATGTACAACTTTATTTATTATATGTGGTTTTTGTACTGTATAAAAAAAGTTTGTTTAATATTTCAACATCAAGAAAAAAAACTCTGTATGTCACAATCGTGTTGTTTTGGTTTACTATGAATTTTTATTTTATAAATATGTAAATGTAAAGTAAGGGTTTTTATTGAGTTTGTGTACAATTTTATTAATTATACATGGTTTTAATATGTTTTTATATTAATATATGAATAAAGAACATTGTTCTTTAAAATCCTATTGTGTTTCAAAATGAAAGACACCAATGAAGGGTTAATATCAAATATTATATCACATTAATAACAAAGTGAAGAATGGGATACTTAAAGGATTTTAAAATGCTCAATAATCAAAATTACAATAGCCTCAATAGTCTTTCAGGTGTAGAATTCCAGATATTAGTTTTTATTTTATTAGAGCAAATGAGACTTGACTAAGCACTATCACATAAAGAAATACTGATAAGACGCTTTATCAGTTGTAACAGTATTGTATTGGGTACAGAACAAACGCTCATTGCACATTGGAAGATGCTAAATACAAAACTGAAGCAGGCCTACCTCCATCAAATAAATCTCTTAAAATTTGTGAGCCAACGGGTTTATCAGATGTAAACTTAAATAGCATGCAAAACAAAATATACGAACAAAATATAAACATAAACATACCACTGGTTTGGGTTTGGTGTTGTCAGTCAGTTGCTGTGAAACAAACAAACAGTGGGTGAGAGAAGCAACAAACAAAACAAACACTCAACTCAAGTAAACATGTTAACTAAGCATGATCGGATGAGAGAAACATGCAAACATGAGTGAGTGAAGATGATTAGAGGTTTGTGGTAAGGATAAAACACACTTAGTCTAATAAACTATGAGAGATTTTTGCTGTTTGAAACTGAGTGAAGATTGCTTCCATTGATTTAGGAGTAACAGCTCAGTCGAAAAGATTTTATTGTTTTTATTGATTATATTGATTTTATTGTTGTTTACGGGGCTAAAAAATACTAACTTAGTCAGTCAAGTGCATCTTTCTAGGAACCCATTGAAGATATTTTTTATTTTTTTTTTACCATCTCCCGTGGTTGTTGAGACATTATTGCCGTCTTCGACGATTCCCACAACATTCTCATTATCTCCCGCAGACCTTGTAGAAGTCATCATTATTTGTTCACTAACCTAGGATCTAAAATGTTGTCTAGCTGAAAAATTGTAGTATGGTAAAATCTGTCTTATATAATTGTATTTGGTTAACTTTAGGCGGGTAGAGTTTGTTGACGGTTTGTGTAACGGAAGTAATGTTATTATCTAACCTTGACTTGTTGTTACAAAGTATCAAACCAGCAGCCAATGGATTAGAACGCAAGCACTGTTTCACTCAGCTACCCAGTCAGTTAGTGAAGTAGGCCTACATTAGAAATTATATGAATTTTCCTACAGTTACCTAACAATGTACATGTTCTCTCACTGATTTGGGAAAGCAAAGTGGCCAATTCGCTCATCAGTGAGACAATGTTAACATTGCCTCACCCTAATTACTTTGTCTCACAACAGATTTGCAACAAGAAGGCACATTTATTTACCAATTTATTTGTTTTATGGTAACTGTAGGAAAAATATTACGTGCAACTCGACTCGAGTGCAAAGTGCAATCGCCTCACTCAAGAAACCACTCCTCACTCGCCTACGGCTCTAGAGTAAGGATTTCTCTCGAGTGAGACAATTGCTCACTTTGCTCACTAGTTGCACAAATAACTATTAATTGGCTTTATACATTTTGAATACCATTATGCAAGTATCTATTTACTTATGAACTGATATTCAAGATTGAACAAAGCAAGTAAAATCCTAAAATTGGGCAAATTGCATTATTTCAGTTTACTGCTACATTTCTACTAATTAACTACTACTTTTCTACTTTTCTATTTAATTACTTTAATTATTGCGGTTTTATGAATGAAGCTGTGTTTTTAAAAAGTATCCATTTGTTTGTCTGCTAACTTCTGATGGTTCAAACAATTTTAGTTTTGACAAAGGGCTTATCCTGAGGTATTCAAATGGGAGGTAATGGTGCTGTAGTTACTGATGAGTTATTAGCTGGACAGATTAAGAGGTATAAAAGATTAAGAATAACAAACTATAAGTGGTTACAAAAGCAAAATAAGCCAATAATTTTCAAATGCTATTGATTGAAATAGTGCTGATAGCTTATCAACTTGTTTCAGCAGTATTTCTGAAAAAATATTTATTTACTTTTTCAACGATGTGAAGAATTAGTTCTAGTGGATAAGGGCAATGGACACTTGAGTATTTTTACTACAGGTGTAATTCAAGTTCAGTCGTAAGAAGTTACAACTACGAAATACCACGTTGATGTATTGTATCAAAACTTTATCTTATCACACACTTTCTGAAGAATTCACAAGAATAGTTTGTGTATAATTATTTAGTTTGAAAAATAGGAAGATGTTGAATCCATCCCTTATCTTAAGATCAAATAGGCAACCTCTTGTGCTAGATTCACTTAATAAGTCACTAATCTAGTCATTGAGATGTTGACATATTGTCTCTTCACTTGAGATTATTTGCTTTTGAGAAAACAGGTCAAATACAAGTCACACAAATTGAAGGAAAATTTCAAGATTAGGAAAGTTTAAGTTAAATAAAATTATAGGCCTAATTGAGGATGGAACCTTTTGAGTGTTGTGACCGATTGTTTTTTGTAAATAAACATCAACTTGTATCACCTTTTTTCAGTGTTTATAAACATTGTAAATTATTTGTCTAAATGTAAATTGATTGTATTTCTACTGAATTACAAAAGCAGGGTGTCTAGTTTATTTCCATTTTAAAATTCAAGACTAATTCAAGGCTTTTCAAGACTAGTTTTTTCTACATTTAGTGATGAGCCCATACAAAAATGTATCAATTCTCAATACCGGTACCTGAAAAATTGATTCCTAATTCTTGATACCGATACTATTTTTTATAGTTTTACAAATTTTTTTAAATAATTTGGATATATTACACCAACCCCTGTCCTTTATGTCATAAAGTATTTTTAAGATAGTGATTTAAGAGGTAGAGGTAAGACCAACCATCCAACCCACCAGAACCTCTACTTCTACCATGCTGTTAGAGGTAGAAGTTAAGAGTTAGATTTTCAAGTAGGCCTAAAGAGAAAATTAATGCAGCAATGAAACATTCTAACTAGCCAATTTGGGTTTAAAACCTTCTTAACACATTAAATAACTACCATATCAAATGTAAACGAAGATCTAATAATAAAAAGATAATTTTATTATAACTAAAGGTCTGCCAGCCTGATATTTTCATTGAAGAGATAATACCGTGATCATCTGCGGTTGTGGATAGAGACATCATTGTCGACTTCCGGGAACACTGCGAAATCCGCAATATCTTCAAGGTCACGGAAACGTCAACATAGTTTTGCATGGCAAATTCATTAAAGATTTCCAGCCATGTAGATATTATCATCGTCTTCCGATATTGCGACAAGATTCTTATCATCTCCAGCGGTCGTGTAGACATTATTGTTGTCTTCCGCAGTCGTGAAAAAATTCTAATTATCTCTCGCAAATGTGTAGACACTATCATAGACTCCCGCCATCACGAAACCGTTATCGTCATCTTTCATGATCGCAGAAAAATCTTCACCATCTCCCGCGGTTGTTGAGACATTATTGCCGTCTTCCACGATTGCAACAACTTTTTGATTATCTCTCACGGACCTTGTAGACGTCATCATTAACTTCCGCATCTTTATCTTCCACAATCGCAACAACATTCTGACTATCCCCCACAGCCATGTAGACATAAACAATGACTGCTGCGGTCACTGAAACGTCAACATAGTCTTGTGCAATCGGGCAAATTCATAAAAAAAATTCTTGCCATATAGACATTATCATCGTCTTCAAAATCCGTATCATCTCCCTCAATGGTGTAGACACCATCTTAGTCATATTAGACATATTAGTCGTCTTTGCAATCGTGATCGGGGCAAGTTCACTAACATTTCTCAGCCATGTAATTCTGTTCATCTCCCATGGCCATATTATCGATTACCATTACAGATATTATCGACTGACTCCTGCTTAAACTAAAACGTGATTTTCGCCTAGCACGATCGCAGCAAAATCATGAACATATCCCACGGCTGTCTTAACACCATCATCATCTCCCGCATCCACGAAAAAGTGATCCATAAGTGACGAATATTTGGTCCATAAGATTCCCCACTGTGAGAACAAAATAAAGAAGAAATCCTGACTTTTCAAGACCATTTTAAAATTTAATATAAATTCCCAACTTTCCCGTTTTTCCTGACTACTAGACACCCTGCAAAAAATTAATTTAAAAAAAGTTTAAAATTCTGAAAATGTAACTTTTGAGTATTCTAGAGGAAAAGTTAGAATGTTTGTCGGAAATATTGTACTGTTACTAGATTTTTTATTCTTTTTCCTTTATTTGATGTATTGTGTAGATTATGCATACAAGTAAATCAAACTATACAAAAACATCAAAGAATAAAATAAAATTTTAGTTTAAAAAAGGTAAGTGTAAACAAAGGGTTTTAAGAAACCCCAAAATCTTCTAAAGTTGGTTCTAAGTTCTAGGTTTAACTAGTCTCTAATTGATTTTAGAAAATGGCTATGATTGATAAACTAGCAATGAAACTGAAACGGTAAAACACACAAAAGCAAGTATAGAGAACAAAGAGTATTTATTACCTTTGGTGTGAAGGTAGGCAAGTGGTTTGGAGGAGCAAATGGGGTTGCAGCTCCTATAGAGGGATGGAGAAGGCCGGGGGAAAACCCAGGATAACTGCTCAGACCTAGACCTTGGCGGTAGAAGGGGGAGTCCACTCCTCCCAGCTTTGGGATGTCCTTGAACTGGAAATAACAAATTATTCAGAACATGACTAAGAGTTAATGTACAAAAAAATGCTTTCCTTCCGGCATCTAGAAAAAATTAATGGGAAATAAGAGCGGATACAAATCCCTTTTTGTTGCTAATTTATTTTACAAAAGTATGTTTTATTAGGCATTTTAACTCTAATAGCATCAAACCTTTTATTTATGAAAACAACTTCTAGTAACAAACTGTTTTCTTTCCTAACCATCAATTATTTAAATAGTCAGTCATTTACTGGATACCAACTTTGGATATAACCAGTGAATGACCGACCGTTTTGGTAATTTGGATTTGGATCACACTTAGTTTCATACTTCCTAGGAAACACAAAATCTAACCAGAAATCATGAGGATACACTACAACCATAATTTGACTGTGGATTATAAGTTATAGTAATTTAATTTACTAGATGATAAGTGGTCATTCACGAGAATCTATATTTTATCAATCCTGAAATGGTAATTTGTATTGTTTACAGGCTGTCCAGCTTTGACGAGAGAATCTCGAATGACATTGTAAAGATCATGATTTAGCAGGACCCAGGAAAGAATGGTACCGTAACCAAAAAGGTTAATTCATTTAGGGCTTTGTCACTCTTGTTTGATTAATTTATAGAATTTGCTTTCAAAGATCCAGTGCAGTGATGATTAAATTATTATTCTATTCTTTATACTGTGCAGCTTACAATGGGAGGGGCGAAGAGCGTGGAGGGAGGAGGGGGCAGCAGTGGTGTTGTGTGTTGGTGTACGTGAGTGTGTTGGTGTTGGTGATGATGCATCTCAGTCCTCAGGTATGGTGGAGGTACCAGTGGTCTGTCTTGAGAGGCCAAGAATCTTGTGTCCAACTCTCTCCTCAGAAGATCTGCTTGGTCTGAAACACCAAGGTTAGTAAATAAGATAACTCATAAGTGGTGTATATTAGTTACTTGAAAATGAAATTTGTGACTTATTGTCATTGACCTTCTGTCGTAAATAAATACCTGCAGTACCGTTGTTGTTTTTTAGTACAAGTTAATAATACCATTAAAATTATAGGACAAGTTCTAGAAACTACAAGTTAATTATTGTGCGCCTTAGAGAGTGTAAGTAATGCACTGTAAAATGTATATAATAAACTATATTACTCTCTCTTATTTGTTTCTGTTTTCTAATGTTGACAAAATGATGTACTGTAAATATTCTATCTGATAATATGTAAATAAATAATTGTAATAATAGACAAAATTAAACAAACTATGTTAATACTGTTATCAAAGTAAAATCTGTGAATGGTCCTTTAAAAAGAAATAGGCCTAGGGACTTTTCAGTGACTTCCAACAACAACCACTAGGAAACACAATGACCAGTAGTCATCCCCCCCCCCCCCCATAAACATACCTTCTATAATCTTCAACATGTTAAAACTTTCAAAAACATAGGGCCTAGTTGGATTGTTTGGATGATATAATTTTGAATGAAGGTGATTGCAATTTTAGATCAATCAGAGTTGTTTTTACAACTGGTAGCTTAATAAATTGTCAATAATTCATGTTATTTTGTTTTGCTTAAAGTTGTAAACGGCTCTCTAGATGTACCTGTTTAAACAGCAAACTAATTCCAGGTTCCTGACACCTACTAACACCTGAACACACGTTTCAACACTGTGACAACACATGTTTCCGTTTACGCTGCTAAGTCAACATGTTGTGTGCTCTGCTTTGCCCATCTGACTACACACAGCTAAGGCAACAACCAGATTTACTTGATGTTTACTTGGCAATCAAACAACAATAAAGTTACTAAACTATAAACTTTTCATGTGAATGGTGGTTTTAATTAACTTAACTTCAAAGTACTTCAAAGTAAAGACTCAAAAGACTAACTTAACAATGAAATTTATAAGTTTGTAGCCTTCTTAAATGTTCTTTGACTTTTTACCAACTCATTGAAGTCAAGATAAGTACAGAAAAAATACAACTCAAGACAAATTAAATTTAAATTCGAACTAAAATGTAAAATAATAATAAAGAGTGTATTGGGAACAACAAAAGTATATCTCTATAATTTGTAAACCTAAACCCCACTATGTTTGTTCCATTCTATTCAAAAAACTAATTAGTGATTAGAGTTAAATTCAAGCTAAAATTGGAATGTTGACAAATTTGTTAATTGAAGACCGAAATACCTTGTATAGTGAAATTAATAATCATATAATGGAAGAATTTCTCCAATACAAAAACTGAGGCCTGACATTTTTTCTATAAAGGTAGACTTGCAGCTCTTAATGGACTCTGAACCTCTAGCACACAGAATTTAATCAGGACCTCGCAAAATGCCACCAGGACATCAGATACATCAAGACATATTGGGTCTCAATCCCAGGGCTTTAATCCAATCCAGCATTTTGCGATTCTTCTAAGCCAATCCCAAAATTACCCCAAAATTAATTTAGTTGTTATTGGTTGTTAGCTTGTGGGTTTGTTGTTGTTGTTGTTGTTTCAAATTTATTTATTTTTATTAGTATACCTTTTGTTATTTTGTCGGTTGTTATTAAGCTGGTAGGTTTGTTATTGTTATTGTTGTTTTCATTACATCGTTATCATATTGTTAAATTTATTCTAGCCTATAAGCACAAAATTTGTTATTGTTGTCAGGTTTATCAACTATGTATTCTAGTCTTACACTTTCAGTATTATTGTAAGCTCACACTGATTTTGTTCTTATTAATGATTAATGATTGTTAGTAAACTAAAGTTATTTTAATTACACATGAACTATCTCATCCTTTCGAACTGTTTTTTTTTGTGTTTGTTAAATGTTACGATATGAGCCATCCTGAGTTGTACTGATTTGATTTGCATGGTTGTAAAATGGAGATGTCCGTTGAAATAAATAAATAAAATTGTATAATTTTATGATTTCAACTTTTTAGCCATTTTAAAACATGAAGTCCCCTTGTTGAGTCCTTTAATGTTTTAAATTAGCCTTAAAATGTTACACAGAATAATTATTAATTTAGCCGTCTTTCTATGTAAAAAATATGACAACATAGAACTTTTATCACCCGCTTTTCTTATTTACAGTATATGATGATAAGTAATTCTAGAGTTTATGAAATACATACAAAAGTAAACAACCTCACTCCCATGTAAACATCTAGCTTCACTCAATATTAAACTCGCTAAGTTGCCCGACTGAATAGTTAAACTTTTAGAGAAACTAATAGGCTATTAAGGAAACTAAACTTATACTTCAGAACGTATATCACCAAAACCTGTTTTCTGTAGTTTTGGCCTAAATCTTTTGTTTAAATCAGAACTCAACATTCATAACTCTGAATCCCGCTCTTCAACAAACATTGCTGCCCAGTTCCATGAACCAAAATATAGGGATGTCAAGATAACATGGGAAGAATCAATCGTTGGGGCAGTTAAGATTTGATGTACATTGCAAACACTTTAAAACAGTTTAAGATACCTATAATAAAATCATCTGCTTATGTAGAAGTATGTGTACGTAGTGTAGGATTTAAAATATTTAATAAGCGCACTAGCCTTAATCACCTTACAAAGATAAAATTATACACACTAAATATAAGCACTAGGTAATGTAGTTGGTGTGTTTGTATTAAAGATTTTGATATCATTAAGAAAATACAATTACGTCTAATAACACCAGAACATATAATATACATTTACACTACATTTGTTTGGTGATGATTTTAATGTCCAGTAAAAATCTATCACCACTTTTCATCTTTTTTTATGTATTTAGGTCTACTGGCTAGTAAGTAAACAGTATAAGTTTAAATTATATGCTACAAGTGTTATTAGACGCTAGATATCAAAAACCGACCACGATTGAGACCCCTATCAGGTTATCACAAAAAATGCCTACAGGACACCACTAAACGCCATCGGCAATTAACAGGATTTGTCATTAGGAAACAAGTCCCTTGATCTAAACTGTGGAAACCATCCACAACTGCATTTTTGTAGAAACTCTATACAACTGGTTTGGCTTTGCACAAAAGTTTATTATTTAATGATTACCGGTACATATCTTTTATCCAAACAAATATTTTCAGAGCTCAATTTTTTTAGGATGGAGTTGTAGTGATTTTGAAAATTGGTACCTAACGAGAATATTATTATGGTAAAGTATTATGAAACACCTTAGGTCTACTAATTTGGACCATAAAGACTAATGTTCAAACCTTTATAAACTACTTAATAAATTTAAAAAATCATATTTGTTGTTCCCATTACAAAAACAAAAATAAAACCAAAATACCTTTATACAGATCAGGATGTTGTATTGACATACTTGATTGAAACAGAGATTCTGCAGAGAAGGGGTTGGGGTTTGTAGGCGGGGGTGCGGGGTTGGGAGCTGAGGTAGGCGCAGGAGGGGCAAACATAGGTGGGGGAAATGGATGGGGGTGATGGCGGGGCACTGATGGCGCTCCGGGCAGTGACGAACTACTCGATCCCCTGGAAAAAATAGAATAAATATTTGTTGTATTAGTGAAGTCTTTGGTTCTATTCTATTATATACTTTGGAAGACTCGATATTTTTCTTCTTTTGGTACAAAACTGTCCATGGTCAGAACACGAAAAATTATTTTTAGTTAGGAGTAGAAACGACAAGAATCTGAGTCACAAAAAGTTAATTTACATAGGATCCAATAAATATTTACCAAAACAGACTCAGAACTTTTAAATACAACTACTTGTGCCTCAACTTGTGTAAAGGAAGCGCAACAGACGGTTTTGAAGTGTCAGTTATTATGAGATTTTGTAGGTCTACTGTGTGCAAAAAGACAACTTTGAACCACTGTGTATTTTTTACTTCATGACACATCAACTCAGAACAAAGCTTCAAGCCTTGGCCAAATCTTTAACCATCAATGTGTAAATCCTTAATACTCAACATAAAGAAAACAAATGAATTGATTCTTAGAAGTTAAAGCTTACTGGATAGGGACACTCAAAGTTTGTATTTATAACAATTTTTAATAAATAAGCCTAGGCCTAGTTAAATAATACTATAGTTTCATTTTTCATACTATTTCTCACTCCTGTCCTTTTTGGTTTAGGAAAAGTGGACCTTGACTAAATTATTAAAGGTTGGATATCTTTAAAGGTTTTACCTACGACCATTTTTTTAAGTAGCCATTTCAGTTCAGTTCTTAGAATTGAAAAGTTTCACTTAACAGCTGTTTAGTTTCATAACAGCATAGTTTCATTTCATAACAGCATAGTTTTTCTCATAACAACACGGGTAACGGACCAATGAGGTTCAAGGATTGAGAGAAAAGAAGTAAAATTGTAATCCTTCGAACGTCAACTAATCAGCTGATCAGCTGATCAGTAGACAAATTTAATTGTTGTTCCGACTTGTTCCTGTTGATACTAGCGTATTCTAACCTAAGTGGTGGAAGTTAAAAGAAGGTAGATTAAACTGATTGAAAAATGTCAGTTAGTGAAAGTGCGGTTGACGAGATGGAAATGAGAGTTTGTGCTAATCTTTTGCCACCAAAATCAAAGAAAAGGTATGAAATTGCATACCAGCAATTCATTAAATGGACGAAAAAAATTAGGTTAAATTGACTAACGCAATCGTTGTGTAGACTACTATTTTCTCGTTCTTCAATATTAAACTGGCTGACGTAACAATCAAGTTTGTAAACAGCTGTTTGACCTTTCCATGATAATTTTTGACCTCAATGCGAAGCCCTGTGATGGACGCATGAAGCAAAAGCCAAAGGTCGTTTTAGTAATTTCAAAATGAAGAACTCATGTCAATGAAGTGATAATGACTGGCAGTGGTAGTGATAAATCTTGGGGGATAAAATTCTTGTGTGATAAATTATGAAAAAATAGAGTAAATTTTTTAACCCTTTGACCAGAGATAGAAGGATCAATAGTTTCTAGGTTATCAACTTAAAGACACGAGGATTCTAAGTAATTATTTGTTTGGTTACATGAGCTTCAGACTGTTTAGCCTAGCATCTACAAACTAAAACACGGATTATGTAACTGGTTAGCATTGCTGGCGGCTAAGATGCATAAGTGCATAGGATATAGAAAACTAGTTCTCAAACTAGAAACTGTTGTTACAATGTTCCTGTTAGGTTTTGAGTACAAGTGGTAAGTGAACATATCTGAAAGTAAACAAGAAAATTGCAGATTTAAATCCCCAAATTTTCAAAAAAGGTGAGAGTTTTGCCCTTTGATGTGATGTTGGAAGCTCTAGACTGGCACACGGCATGGAAGAGCCAAGAGCAGTTCAAATAGAATTTTAAGTGTAATGTTTTTGTTCAAATAAGTGTACTCACCCGACCCAGACAGGGGGTTTGGTGGCAGAGTACGCCAGACTAGAGGGTTGTGAGTGAGCAGGGCCAGAGGCTGAAGCAGGAGCACTGAAAGGCGAAGGGTTAGCTGGTGGGCCCGAGCAGTTCACAGGCGTAACACTGCCTCTACTCAAACTGCTCACGTTACTGCTGCAAACATAACATGGCATCATTGCATGTCCAAAACCATCTATTTAACTCCAAATAATTGAACATATATAAGATGAGACTTGAGTCTGTCTTTCTCTACTTTATCCCAAGACTTTCTAAGGCTAAAGTACAACAGTGTAGCTCTCTTGATTCCTGGTTTCAATACTTTACTATTTTAGACTCACAGAAAGATGATTTACCTGTAGCTATCCCGCTCCCTGGTAGGGCTGTGACCTCTAGGGGAGTGACTCCTCCCAACCAGCGGCGTGGTGACTATGTCTCGGTGACTCGTGGTAGTAGTGGTGACTACAGGCACGGACACAGGAGCTACCGTCGTTGTAGCTACCACAGGAGGCTTGGTGGACGACACAGGCGAACGGTTCACTCGCTGCAACACAAGTTAAAATTATTGGTCCAATACAAATAAGTTATTCTGGATGAAAGCCAGCGTAAAAATGTATTGTATAAATAAAATGTAAAATGCTGAAAAGAAAATAATGTTTACTTACAGTACTACTAACCTGTTGTATTACAGGGATCTAATTAACTAGCTAAATATGCTATTAAAATGTCTTTGTTTAACACGACTTTTGTACCAACAACCAGTTTATAAAAAAGTATTTTAAGTCAACGCCATAATTAGTGAACATAATGCATAACGTAATGCAAAACATTCCTTTTAATGACTAAACCAGTGAACCAAATAAAGCCTGGTTTTACTGACTAAATTTTATAGCAAGCAAACATAAAGCCTCTTCAATTATGAATCTGAAAAGAAGCCAAGTGAGGTTGAGGCTTTTGAGTAATGAAGAAGTCGTGGATAAAGGCGAGAGCTAATCTGGTGGCAAGTTTAATCAGCTAACAGGTTTATCGGTGAAGAGCTGCACAGATTAATATTAATGGGGCGCAGTCACGGAACAGTAATTAGCAGTTAGCAGTGGCAGAGGCAGACTTAATTATGCACCAACAAGTGACTTGTACTTCTACCATTGTACATCTAATCTCAATACAATCTCTGCAAATGATGCTTGATTTTTCACCAACTGCAGTCTTACTTGTGAGGTCATTTAGACATTTGATCAATGATGGACGGTTGTATACTTAAATGCTGTTTATTGTGGTTAAAATCAGGTTTTTACTATGCATTTTTACAGTTATTTCAATATCAAGACAATGTTAATGGTTATACCAGTAAGCATGTTAGCAGTTTTCAATTAAAAACTGCCACAGAATATTCCAACCACAAACAACAGTAACAACTCGTATTTGTATATCACAAACAAATGACATCCACACAACACATTACTTGGATGTAACAGTGGTGTGTAAATGTACTCGCTATGTAATTATCTTCCTGTTTGCATAATGCAGGATTTAAATATCATTGGCCACAATGCGGCGCTGCAGATACCCGGCGTGATTAAAACTCTTGTCCAGAATCTCATTAATCTGCGACCCGCAGCTATGGTGATACAACATACACCAACCACCAGTTATCTGTTCATTCATCTGGATTGACAAATTATTGTTTGCTATTGACATAGCCAGTCAAATACAGAAAATTAGTAACCGTATGAAAATTATTAAACATTTAATTTTGACAAAATCAACACATATTTGGTTGTTTTCAAGTTATAAAAACTGTTTTGAAGTAACTTGTTAGAAAAAGTTGTCATTAGTTTATTAGATTTTAATAATAGTGGTGACATAAAATCTTTTTATTTTTGGTTGTTGTAATACAGTTGAAAACCAACTTAAAATTATAAAAACAAGGAAAGAAATTTAAGTTGCTAATTAACTTGCAACTAAATTCGAATGTGATTTACAATGCAGGTATTTTAGTTTATAACTAAGGAACATGTGTGGCTCAATGAGCCGCATAGTTTGAAAATATAACGTTGAGGAAAACTATGTGCTTAAATTAGAATAACTGTTGTAAAACATTGTTAGAGTTATTATAACACTTGATTTTTAATATCTCTAAGGTTTGGTTAATTCTTACTACTTGAGCTTACCATAGCCAAGTCATTATTACAGTTTCTACTAAAGGTTTTAAAATGTCTCGATCGGTCAGTGTTAACTATAAACATTTCTTTTATGTGTTCATTTGATTTGACATTAGCTTAGGCAAGTTTACTTTACCTCCGTGACAACATGATGTGTATATTCTTCATGAATGTTTCACTTCCAAAATAAGTTGCATAGCAGAACTGGAAAACATTATTAATCATACGTGTGTGTGTGTGTGTGTATTTCTTACTGTTGGACCAGGCCTCTCTTATTCTACTATCCTCATAAGCATACAATCTCTTTTTAATTGTCTCCTCATCCTGTTTTCAATATTTCTTCCTTGAACTCTAGGCATTTTCTGTTCTTCAAACAAAACTGTTTAACTGTTTAGTTTACATTAGTCTATAACCCCCTGAATATCAAACACATTTGCTCCCAAAAAGCTGATGAGTTTTTTTTTATAATTAGCTGTATTTTTTTTATTTTTAAATTTGCTTTGTGTATTTCTTAAAGGGGAAATTCAACCTTTGAGAGCGTCTCTCACCCTTAAGGGTAAAAAAACATGTTTGATGGATAACAATTATCTCATAAAGAGTGTTTTAGCTTGTTAGGTTATTTTTCAACTGTTGCTTCTTTGACAACAACTTTGTCAAATCAAACGTAACTTTAATTTTATTTTTTAAATAATCTTTATAAATAAAATTACAGTTTTGTCTTTACATTGTGTAGAATCGTGAAATATTTTATTATGTTTACGTATTGTACACTAAAAAGCCAAAACGAGTATTATATCATTTTCTGTCTTCTGTCTGTCATTGTGTCTGTGATGCGAAAATGCCAATTTATTAATTAATTTTTGCCTCTGGGGACCTCAAATTGAAAAAATGTATCGGTCCCGGGTCTAGGTCTTACCATGAAACCTATGGTAATAGCTTATTTCCTAAATGGGAAATTTGCTAAAATAGTCAAAGAATTCACAAATGAGAATCTACACAAAACAGATGGCAAAAGCAAATTAAATGTTCAAACTAATAATCCCAATAAAAGCGTTAGACAAAAGCGTTTGTAATAAAACACCCAATAAAGACCCAAACCTAATCAACTCCCAATCACGTCTCCGGTTTGTAATTACTCTTTGATGTGTAATATTTAAAGCTGCACTCTAATTAAAGTTTTTTGTCCGTGTTAAATTGCAGGCTTTAATTACACCTAGTTAGCGTCAGCGACCATCTTCAGTTGCAGACCAGCACTTTTGTCGCTTTCAAATTGATTTCTCTCTAATTAAAAGCTTCAAATATTTTTTTCAATTTATTTACAATGAATCTTATTTAACCGAATTTTTAGGAAAAGGTCCATATTTATTTTAAGGTAATTAAGCCTGGTTTACTTGGGTCGAGTATGTGAGATGATTTATTCGGCCCAGTTGTTGATATTTTGTTCAACTCGCCAGGTACTTGACTAGACTGTCCACACGCATCCTTATTTTGAACAGGGACAGTGTAGGCAAAGAGAAGTAATTTGTATTATTTCTGTGCGGTTTAGGGTATTCCATATACCGTAGCTTTCGTGTTAAATGTAGTTTAAGTTTAAAATGTCACTTCAAGAGTTTAATACTGAATTTACAGTAACTTAATTAAATCACTTAATAGGATTATCTATAATATTAAAACGAAAGTGTGTTTTTTTATTTCACGATTCTGAATCAACCACTTGACGGATTTTCACGATTTTTGTGTTGAAAGAAAGATAATTTTGAAAACTAGGGAATGTCGAAGCCATAATTTTAGTTTAGGGTCCCAGTTTTTTTAGAAATTAAGTTTTAATTTTTTTAAAGTCTAGCAGCCGACGCTAAGATTCTAAACTAGCTTTTGGCATAAAATAATTTGCATAACATAACAGCTGTAAACATTCAGCTTTTGTGTCACAAATTCAGCATTTGGATAAAAATAAAAGACATACTAAAGGTTGACTTATTTATACTATGTGTAATGCTAATCATTGATTCGTTCAATTCTTCTGTAAGAGGATGACAGATTAATTAAATATACATAGTAAAATACTAGGATGTTCAAATTATTTTTTAAAGCGATCTTTGTAATTTTCTATTTGTTTTAGAGCAATATAATTTGTTTTAACTAACAGCTGGTTAAATATCAACTATGGAACTATGAGGTTATTTTATTTACTCTTATTTTGTCATTGATTATAGTAAATAAGTAAGATTAGTAGAGATAATTAGACCACAGTTTAAACCACAGTTTTAACAAAAAATAATTAAACCACAGTACAAATCGAGGCTCTGTACACGAGTCTTAATAAAAAAGGATAAATGCAAATTATTTTAGTGCTACACTTTTCAAGGAAAGATTAGAAAAATTACAATGTTAACATGTTTTAATTCTCCATGGTAGCTTTTTGTTTAAAATTAATGTTTGTCTGGACTTTGTTTGGATTAGGCGCGGAAATATTGATGTCGTAAAAAGAAGATGAAGAATAATCAGGAATCACGATTTTAAATTACCACCTCAACCTCAGCCGGGTTTTATACAAAGATAAACAGATGGATGACATAGATTGAACACAACATCAACATTAACCTAGGATACTGCAATTAGACAAACCATCCTTTTGAAATCATGTTCAGTTGTGGTTACGTTTGGGGGCGCCTATATCAGCGCCCCCAAACGTGAAAATATCACTTTCATTTCAACGATGAATATATTGTAGTTTAAATTAACTAATATGGGAAATTACGATGTACATTTTATTCTATGAGGGTGGATAATTTTCAAGGATAGAACTGATAACGGTATGGATAATAATCATTGACAATTTCGTCATTAGTTTTACTAGCGTGTTTACTTTTTATATTCCTGCTACATGTGACCAGTTCTTTTTTCAATTGAATGTTATTTGAACCAAACAACTGTTTCAAAACAAACTGTTATTGTTTTTACTTTTCTTTGTTTACGCTTATATATTTAGCAATTAATGCAATGATAGGTGTGACGATTAGTTTTGATGTTAGGACACCAAAGTTAAATTACGTGTACTGTGAATTTTATTGGATATTATCGTTTTATTTTAGGTAGTTTCAATTCAGACCTACTGGGAATTGTGTATAGTAGTTGTATTGTGGTGGTAATAATTATGGAAGAGGCAGATATGCTATGGAAGGTGGTATTGTTGACTAGGTCTATACACTTCTCAATTGACTATTACTCTCTCTACTGTAGGCTACTTATAATCAGTGTGCGAAACGGCTGCAAATCTCACTTCAACAGTTTTCACATCGTAAAAATTGCAGAATTGCTGTTTTACCTATTGTAAAATTATCGGATTTAAAATGCATATCGTATAGGCCCATGATGGAATAAAAACATATTTGGTCACACAACATTTGTTTACAAGATGATTTTTCTCATTAAAACTGCAAGAAACTTTGTCTTTGTGTAAACTAGCTGATCTGAATTGTACACGGTTTTAACTGACTACTGAATTCCCGTACGTAGGACGGGCTAACACCTCGTTAGATTTAAAACTGAATCACCACTTAAATTCACAGGTTGCTTAAAAGCTTGTTTGCAAATAACTTTTAAACGGTAAGGAAATATACCAAAGTGGAAGGTGATATTCTGAAAGAGAATAAGATTTGTTACAAAATACTATACCGTACTGAATTTCTTTAAAATAATATATAAAGGCAGCCAAAAGTTGCCTCTAAATAAAAAAATTGAAAACACCGTTTTCAATGTATTACTGATAGAACACATTTTTAGGGAGTGAGCTTTCTTACGACCCATTGTTTAATAAAATCGGTCCAGTAGAACTGTAGATCTTAAGTTGTACAACAATTTTGAAAACTAAATTATATAAGAGTAGATCTACGAACAGCAAGACAATGCAACAAAGGGCCAACTGTTCAACTGAGCCATTCAGCATTGAGTAAAGTATTGAGGGTGAGTAGGCCTACACTACTCATCGAACTAACCTCAATACTGATCGTTGTGATCGACTCACTCAGCGACCACAAAGTAGTTACTGGGCCGAGCAACTCGGTTTTCAACTAAATCACTCGACTCACTCTCAACTGACCTCTTTTTACCAGCTCGCCCGTTGCTTGACTCGCCTGATGTCTACACCAAGCGAGTTAGAGAGCGAGTGGCAACTCGCACACTGACTCGCCCACCGTACTCGACCCGTGTAAACCAGGCTTTAGTTCGGTTTTTCCAATCACTATTTGAAATATATAAATGTTTTAGACAGTCTTTAGATACCTATATAAAAACAAATTTTGCGTATTTTTTTTGGTATTCTATGTATACATCCTTTGGTCATAAAATTAATCATCTACAAACTAACTTTCTAGGTTTCTACAAGCATGTTACTCACAGAAGCATGTGATATCGTAGGCATGTATGGTGTGGAGTTGTATGGGGCATACAACGGAGTATATGGACTAGCAAGAGAGAGAGGAGGAGGCACATAGCTGCTGGGCGTGGAGACCACCAAGGGACTGCTGTGGCTGGGGGCAGTAGCAGCAGGGTAGACCCCGGGGGGCGGGAGGTATGCGGGGCCTGTACTGTGGGGCGGGCCGTAGCTGGAGGGTGGTAGCGGGTAGGCGGAGCTAACAACCACAGCCGGGGCTGAGCGTGGCGAGTGGCCAGGATGGGAAGATACTTGAGTGGGAGGGGAGGGAGTGGGCATCTTGGAGTGGTTGTGGTTTGTATGACTTGCCACTGGACCATTGGAAATCTGCAACAAAACAATCATAGTTGCATAATGTTCAGTAATTGCAGTTTTATAATTTAATACTATTCTATGTAGAAACATGAACTTTTTTACAAGTAATTTCTTCTTTTGCCAAAAGTAATTGATTAAATCTAGCTTTAGCTGAACGATTTAAGCTTGCATTGAAAATGTAAAGTCGAGTAGTTATAACCACACAGTTTGTGAGAGTATTTTCACCTTACAGATTTACTATAGTTATTTATTGTATACATGTGTCTTACCGGGTAGTGTGATATCGTTGGTGCAGCAGCGGGCGGAGGAAGAGGCTGGGAGGTGGGTGGAGGTGGTGACAGAGGGCGGGGCGATGCTGTGGGGGTGGGACCTGGAGGCGGAGCGATGACCACAGGTTTGGTGGGGGGTGGAGGACTCGGACTGCCCCTCCCTGGCGACCCTGTGCCTGTTGTTCCCCCTCCATTCAGCACTGGAGGGTGTAGGTTTTGAGGTAGACCAGGCAGTTCATCTGTAGGGTGATACACAATTAATATACACTTCTTCGCTTAGGTTCTTTCATATGGTTATTCTGGTAATAGAAATTACCTTACTTTACGAATGAAATCGTGACAGAGTGGTAACACAGCTTGCCTTCTAATTCAAAGTTCCTAGTTCAAATATGAGGCGAGTGAATTGAATATCTAAATCCAATTGGTGCTTGACATTTGGTAATAATGATACTTACTAAAACATGTAAACAGGAAATAACATAAAAATATAACAGTATGGATTTATAATATATGTAAACACTTTAATAGACATTGTATGCTAACAAATTAAACTTAAAAAAACACTATCATTGATTTTATAAGTGTCCAAGAGTGAGTTTTTATTTTCTAATGTGGCTTTCACAACCAAGTCTAAATTAATAACTACCTTCAGTTCAAAACAGCAATAATATAACTATTTATAAGCAAAAAACTTGTGTCCAAAATCTTAAGATCCAAATTACTATAAAACAGAAAAAAAGAATCTATAAAACCATAATCAAACTGGTACTATTCTATGAATCAGAGGCAGAGGCCTGGACAATAATGAAACAAAGCAGGATTAATTATTTTCGAGAACAAAATATTAAGAAAGATTTTTGGGCCTATAAAAGAAAATGAAATATGGCAGATCAGAAAAAAAAGAGAGCTCCAAGAACTTTATGAAGACCCAGATCTAGTAGCTATTGTTAAAAAGCCTAAGATTGAGGTGAGCAGGACACAGGAGAAGAGAAGTAACAGTCTCCTGAATTTGGCTACCAATGGACAACCACGAGGAACCCAATGACCCAACCTCTTGGAAGACCCAAACTACGGTAAGGTGACCAGGTTCAGAAAGACCTTCAGCAGACGGGGACATCAATTGACCAAGCAGCGGACAGTCAACAGTGGAAGCAATTTAATGGTGAGGCCAAAAACCTTCTCAGGTTTGAATGGAGAAGGTGGTAAGGTAAGGTAAGAAAAAAAAACCTACAAGAATAAAGCTTAAGTAAATGTTTAGCCTAATGATGGCACTGTATTGAAAATTTACTTACGTTTTCTGACTGAAGGTGTGAAGAGAACGGACCCACCATCGGAACCCTGAAAAATTAAATGATTATTTTCTATACATTCAATTTGGAACAAATAGTTAACTTTAAAGTAGAGCCTATGCTAACTTAATATCTTAAACGTTCCTTAAAAAGAGTAATGCATTCTAAAACCGTACCGCTCTTTGATAAAAAGTCCACATTCGTCAGACAGTGTTGTGAGTTGACAGCGCTATGTAATGACACGGTCGATTGACATGAAGCAGAGGAACTAGTACATTATCTCAACAGAACATTAATTGCAGCTGTGAGCAGTAGAGGGTGAACCTGGCCATGTTCCAGGAGAGAAAGAGAAGAGGCACGAGACATGGACGATGCCAACAGATGTAGGCCATTGCCACTATACGAGACAGGCGTCGTAGTCGCAGGTAAGAATAGCCTGCCAAAGAGGCATCTCCAAATTAGCACTGGCACGCGGCAACATAACGTAGGATCAAGTACTCCGTAGAATGTAGAACATGGCAAGTATAGCTAGAATATGCATTCTGTCCACCTGTTGCAAATCAATCTGAGGTGGATAAAGTTAGGGAGCACAAAATGTTTGAAATTTGATTGTAAATGAGCCAACAAAATATTATTCAATCCATATATAAATTATGATGGAGGTTATACTTGTTTTAACAATTTGTAGTGGATATAAGAACCGATGTGTTCAAGGTATCCTGACTGTTCTGTTATTACTCATGAAACATTTAAAAAGGAACTCGACAGTAAAGACCAAAGGGACAATAATTTGGCTCTGTTTAAATAAAAGCATAGGTATGGTTGTCCGAAAAAAATCCATCTATGCTAAGCAGTCTGGAGATCTTTAATCTTTAAATGTAAATTTGAAGAATCTAGTTACTTCAAACTTTATATGAGAATTGCGATAGGCCTACAAGTTGATGGTCAAGAAACCCTGCAGCATATTTCAGTTAGAGAAATTTATATGTACAAGCAGCAAGAACTTTAGTTACTACAGAACATTAGTTTCAGAAGGGGAAAAAATCAGCCCTTGAGTACAAATAGTGAGGATTTTGGACCTCTACGTTGAAAAAAGTTGAAATTGGCATTACTAAACTAGGGATAACTCGAAATAGATTCAGAGATAAAATAATCAAGACCGACATACCAAATAAATGCACAGCAGCTGCTGGCAGAGCAATAGCCATTTAAACTCGGCCAAATTCCATGGCACTTGTCACCAGGAACAATGCAGCCTGCAAGCCAGAATTGCCTGAGACCTTTGACATGTCGACCCTGGTGGCCTGGGACTGCCAAGTAGCAAATACCTCCGTGTCAGACGTCAGACACTCGTCTGGCAAATAAATCTTGCAAAACAATGTAAGCGATGCTTGAACATTTGACACCGTATATTCTTGTTGGGTTTGTTTGTTTGAGGTTTTTGCCCCAGTTATCTCGAAACCTAGAAGCATCGGTCCACCCTTAACTTGTATTTTTTACAAAATGACAAGATTCTTGTTTTTGCCAAAGCTATTGATGAAACTTTGTTAAAAAAGAAAATATTTTTACAGCTTTTACTTAATCCAATGGATATTTATTATGAACACCAAGATACGCATTAAAAGATAGGACGCTACTGTTAACTTTTGCACTGGTTTCTTCGAGTCCAAATTATAATTGTATAAACTTTCTTTTGTTTCACATAAGATTTTGAGGAATGATAGAGTTTTGCCGATTCTTCTGTCAGCTACGTTAAGTGGTTATTGAAGTAAACCAAGTGTCAACAAAATGAGAGGCAGTAAAAATAAAATTTTAAATTTTCCCACAATTTTCATTGGTTACAAACAATTGCAATGTGACAATGAAAGTCTGATCAATATTTTTACTAGCCAGGGTGGTATGAAAAAATGAAAGTGAGGTAAATGATTAGAGAAATGTACAGATTGTTAAGGCAGTAGTTCAACAGATGTTGACATGCTGCAAAACCTCTAATGCCTCTTTCAAGGTACAAGATTTGACCACTGAAGTTACCGCTGCACATGAAAAAATTAATTGTAAACATAGTTTGGCTTCACCACTGCAGCAATTTACGGCCTCACGATCAGAGGTAGTAGGACGATCTTAAATCTTCTAAAATTACATAAGGTTTTTTTACCTGCTTTGATACTGTATCTACACTACGATTTCCCATGTAAAATAATACTATACAATTGTTACTTGACTAAATAGTGAGCAAGTCGTGACATGAAATAACTAAAACTAGTGTTCATGTTGCTCGAATTCGAGCATTTGTAAAGTATTACAGGATTTGCAAACAAATAACAATCATACTAAGCTATCAACATTTCAACAAAAACACACCTACCTTCCCTGTAGTAGCAAACCTAGGTACTCGTATTAAAATTAACTTAATGTTATTTAAATAGGAAAAAATGACAATTTTCAGGGAATATCTTTGTAGAAATTAAGCCAGGTAAATGGAAATTCGCTTAGTCTGAAGGTTTCCTGCAGATACACAATTTTAATAACAGCAATGATTGTAGAATCTAAATTATTATTTATATCCATGAATTTATATAACAATTATTTCCTGTAAAATATTATTACAGCAGCTTAAAAATATTGGACAGACTCGGTCAACAAATCACGTAACTGAAAGAATCCAATACTAATGACATTAACATATAGTTTGATAGTTCCATTTAATCAATGTTAAATGTTTACATTCGGGCGAGTGACATATTTTATTTATGTTTATGATCCATACCGTTCCTGTTCTAATAATCATGCAGTATTTAATATATTTGGACCAGCTGTGTGGAATTGTGAAATCAAAATTAATTTGACAGTTAGTTCTGCTTGTTTACATTTTTAAATTTTGTGGATTTGTTCTTTGTTACTATGGATACCATCAATAAATATTTCACTTTTAATTTCTGACAACAGCTGGAGTTCCATAACAAATTTTGTTTCCCATGTTAATCTTATGGATAAATACGAAAGTTTAAAGGGCCCCAGGGCCTCACTCTCTAATTATTTCCCTAAAAAGAAAGTTTCCTGCACAACTTCACATTACGCTCTTTCCAATGACACCAAAAACATGTCAATCGGTTCAGTAGTTTCGGAGGAGTAATTGTCACAAAAAACCTGCTTGCGTATTAAATAAGTACGAGAGGTCGTCCAGTGGTCGAAACTCGACCAAAAATATGTAATGTACTAACTTATCTATTTTCACCCCACACTGTAAATAAAACATGTGATTGGAGTTTCTTCCATTTGTTTTGATTTTCTGTTTATATTTCGTTGTTATTTCGTAACCAGCATAGCAACGCATAAGATCCATGTTAATTTTTTCAAATTTTTAAACTCATTTTTTGTGCTTATCTTTGAGCCTATTTAAATTTATAAAGGGGTTCTGCACACCTACAGGAAAATAGCTTTCCAACGGTATGCGTAGATTTTCCCTACGATGCACACGAGCTGAGAAAAAAGGTTTTAAAGAAACATGCTTGCCTATTAATATATAGACGAGAGGTCGTCCAGTGGTCGAAACTCGACCAAAAATATGTAATGTAAACTTACTCACTTCTCTATTTTCACCCCACACTGTAAATAAAACATGTGATTGGAGTTTCTTCCATTTGTTTTGATTTTCTGTTTATATTTCGTTGTTATTTCGTCACCAGCATAGCAACGCATAAGATCCATGTTAATTTTTTCAAATTTTTAAACTCATTTTTTGTTCTTATCTTTGAGCCTATTTAAATTTATAAAGGGATTCTGCACACCTACAGGAAAATAGCTTTATAACGGTATGCGTAGATTTACCCCACGATGCACACGAGCTGAGAAAAAAGGTTTTAAAGAAACATGCTTGCCTATTAATATATAGATAGATAGATAGATAATACAATAAGTCCATAACAAAACACCACCTAAATATTGGGTTGTGCTGCATTATGAAAAGAGAAGTACAATTATTGAGAACCCAAACAATGATAACAGCAATGTTCAATTATGTTTTAACAGCTTATTGGTACATAGCTTGTACTTGTACAATTGGGATCAGCTTATAAATAATAAAAGTGTCATAGTAAATTATTAACTATGCTCAACTTTGTGACATCAACTTTCTTATTTTGTCATGTTTTACCTAAGCGATTGAATATCGTTAACATTGTGTTAGGTTACTTGCTAAAGAGTCGCAATTCCTTACCCCTAATCCCCACGTTTAAACGTATAAATATTTAAGGAGGTCAAGTCAAACTTCCACTAATTCATGCTTTAGAAAAAACTCATCGCCATCATGTCATCATGTTACAAAATAATCGACATCGTACAAAACACCGCGCAAAGCCAGCGGCAGCTGAACCTCGGGTTTTCAATTACACCACATTACAGGTCTTCTCAAACTTAATATTTCAAAACGCAAATTACACGGGGGCGCGGGGCAATTGTGTTTTTAATGACTCGTCTTTTCTCCCCCCCCCCTCATGCGAAGCCCTTAGCGCCTGCATAATTAAGGGGAGAACTTGAGGGGATGAATCTTGTCGAGAGCTTGAAAAAGTGAGAGGCGTTTTGTTAATGCCCCTAACTCCAGCGAAACAGTCGGCCTGCGTTTTAAACTCAACATCGCTTGGTACACACACGTCTTGTCGGGTATCTGTAGTAACCATACAGATTTTATAGCTATGGATATTTAGTTAGTCAATTATATTATATTTAATCAAATTATTTGTAAAGCAAATTATTACGTGTATTTATGTTAAAGTTCATATAGAACTAGTGTTCTCCGAAAATTATAAGGGATACGCTTAAAAGATCTATCAAGATCCATCAAGGTCACTCTTATTTAGCTTCGTTCCTGTTTTTCTAGAGAGAAGAATTAATTGATTTGCTTATAGATTAACCCGAACCTAAGCGTTATGGTTATCTAATGTAAGTTAATAAATATTAGTTATTACCCCAACAACTAAATCAAACTTAACCCAACTACTAAGTGAACATGTTTCATATACAGTATCCATCAAACCGTCGCATCGGTATAAA